CAACAACCACAATAAGTTGGTTACTCATTTGTTAGGGCACTAACATTACTACTGACAGGATCTAATTTAACAGGGAATGCACAGCAGTACAACCTGGTTAAAGACTGAAAAGCCATAAAATCTATAAAGCGATGGAAGAACAGTGTGCCCTAATGGCTTGTCTAAAAAAATGAGTTGCTCTGCAAACTTTGTGAAAAATCAAATGTGGGGCTGCTACATGTGGAAAACTTATTACAAATTACCATGCACAATTTGGGGCATAGAACACCGTAGTAAATTTTGTGACGAGACGAAATTAGAATGTTAAAATCTTCTGAAGAACAATTTTTCGGGATCTAAATCAAATGTTGCGATCGATGCGTGAAAGAACCCCAGTAATACTACTAACATTGGGTAGCCACACCGATTGTCCAAAACATTCTGGTAAATATGGGAACTGAGTTTTTAGCGAAATAAACCAAAGTAAAACAGTAATAATAAAAAAGATGCTAGACAAGTCTGTTTGCTTCAAAAACCATCTTTTGCAACTTCGAACTTGGTATTCTGGAGCTTGCCTCATATTTTTCAATTTCAGTTTTTCAAAAAAAAAAAACTAAGGTTTTTCGATAAATATAAAAATTTATAAGGTGTCTAAGTTAACAGTTGCTTTCGAAAATCAAGCCAGCGCACTTTTTTTAGCATTAATTAACGAAGCTTTTAATCATTTTGACAACAAATTTTGCTTACAGAAGCAGTGAGAATTTTAAGCTAACTTTAAGTGGTTGTAATCCGGGATTTTAATTGTCCCGAAATCCAAGCACAGTATAACAGATTTGCACAAAAACCTACGGTTAACTGTGGATACCCTAAGGCAAAAGAGGACTATCTAGAAATTTCCAAATAAAAAAATTTGCTTCACTAAATAACTTGTCACATTTATCTTTCACAAATGTGATATGTTAAGGTGAGGCCCCTAATACTACGGCAGCCTTTTTACAGAGCAGAGCTGATGTGAGGATACGGAAATGGTGCTAGTGCACTCTAGAGCATTCTAGATAGGCAGAATAAGGAACACTGCCCTAGAGAGGAAAGCGACAAGACAGAAATGAAGGCTGAGTTACTTTTCCAGTGAACTCACTCGCTTCAGTCGTTGATGGCGTATTCTTTTTTGTTTTACATGTGTTACCTAAAATATTCATGGCCACAAAAACCAGCATAAACAAACGTCCGGCTGTTAAGTTCACCATAAGGAACAGTGGCAGTGAAAGTGAATTTAGTGACCAACAAGACTGTTCGGACAATGGATGTGAGGTTCCGATGTTTCTGGGACCCAATTATATTGAATCTTTCAGCTCTAAGCAGTGTGAATCTATTCAAACCACCAGAGCTGACAGTGTGGGTAATCCATCTTCGCCTGAAGATTTTGGCGCAAATTTGTCCCTTGTCCAAGATAGACGTAACTGTTAATTTCTCCCAAGCCGACAACAGCATATGAATATGCTAATTAAAGTGAATAAATTTAAAATAAAGTAAGTTCTTTTTCAAATATTCACACCCGAAGTTTCCTACTGAAATAATTAAAATAACTCATTACTGAGTAGCAGGTGAGGGAGTTAAAAACTTCAAATAACTATATGATAAAGAGCCACGAAAAAGCCAAAAATATCCAAAACCGCGGAAAATCGAGACGTAGCCAGTTTTAAAAAAGTATACACACTCAATTTCTCACATCGCCAAAATTGCGAGAGTATTATAGTGCCGAATAGAAGTGTATCACGGGTTCAGCTAGAACTAATACTATTTTTCCACACAAATCAGATCTCTGCTAAGCAAAAAATGCAACGGGAGGAATGGAATAAAGACGAATACAAAAAATTTTGCCAGATTCAGTAATAGTATTCAAGGCACTCTTCTGTTTCTCCAAATAAACAGCAATTCCACAAATTAACTGAAATCCAAATTTTAGCACAAATATGACATGTTACGTTATAATTAATAATAACAACTTATAATAACAACCTGTTAAACACAATACACCACTTTTTTTTTAAGCAAATCCACCAAAAATGAAGCAGAACTTACGACGTGCAGAATAGCCACCACCTGGCCCATATTTGTTATTTTCTCCACAACAGCATCCTGTGTCATCACATCCTTGCCACGCATTTGTGATTTACCTATTTTGCGGTAGAGGTTTAATTGCCATGCATTCTTATCTGTAGGATCTGTCTGCAATTTTGTCATTTTTTTCACAAAATTTTGCTCTTTTTTTATTTTTCAGCTTTTTTTTTAACGCGAAAGACATTGTTCGCGAGATTGACGCAATCAGAAGTATTATTATCGCCGTACAGAATATCAAGAGTTCGATTTTATCAATGAAATAATCAATTCCACCATGATTCGTTCAGTTATTTTAGTTGATAAATTGGTAACTGGCACATAGGTGGATCCAGGAGAGAGGGGGGATAGGGGACGGGTCTTTCGACTCTTCACTCCCTCCCCCACCCCCAGCGGCACAGGCACCAGTAGTGCAAAAGCCCCGGTCTGAAGCTAAAACTAAAGTAGAGACAGACTGTCTCCCCCACCCTGTTGCCCCCCACTTCTCCTTTCCGTTCGTCGCTGCGCAAGGAGCCCTTTTCTCGCTCGTTGACCCCTCCCCCTTTCCTACTCCCACTCGTTGACCTCCTCTCCTTGCTCGCTGCCC